CCCACAAAGACCAGCAATCTGAACCGCTCTGGATTGAGTTTCACAGCAAGCACAGCTGAACCCGGGAGGGTCCAGCTCTGTGGGGGAGGGGCGTCCGCCATTACTGAGGCAGCCCGCCACTACCCAGGCAGCCCGCCACTACCCAGGCAGTCTGCCGTTACAGAGAGAGTCTGTCATTACAGAGGTGGGCCACCGTCGCTGAGGCAGTTCTAACTAAACCCCTATAAACAGGATTGCAGGGAAGTTCACAGGGCAGCTGGGCGGAGCCCACAGCAGCTCAGCAAAACCTCTGCCGGCAGACTGTGACTAGGCTGCCCCCTCGCTGGGCACGGCATCCCTGAAAGAGGGCAGCAGCACAACAGAAGTCTATAAATAAAGCCCTACCTTCCAGGGACAGAGCACCTGGGAAAAAAAAGGCGGTTATGAGTTCTGCTGCAGCAGGCTTAAACATACCTGCCCAGCAGCTCTGAAAGGAATAACGGAGCTCACAGCTCAGCACTTGAGCTCCTATAAAGAACAGACTGTCTCCTCAAGCAGCTCCCCAACCTCTGTATATCCAAAGAATCACCTCATAAAGGAGAGCTCAGACTGACATCTGGCAGGTATCCTTCTGGGACAAAGATAGCAGAAGAAGAAACTGGCAGCAACCCTTACTGTTCTGCAGCCGCAGCAAGTGATCCCCAGGCAAGCAGGGCCTGGAGTGGACCTCAGCAGTCCCACAGCAGAGGGGCCTGACTGTTAGAAGGAAAACTAAGAAACAGAAAGAAATAACTTCATCATCAACAAACAGGACATCCACTCAGAGACCCCATCTGAAAGTCAACAACTACAAAGACCACAGGTAAATAAATCCACAAAGATGGGAAGAAACCAGTGCAAAAAGGATGAAAACACCCAAACCCAGAATGCCTCTCCTCCTCCAAGGGATCACAACTCCTCACCAGCTAGGGAACGAGGCTGGATGGAGAATGAGTCTGATGAATTGACAGAAATAGGTTTTACACTGTTGGTGGGAGTGTAAATTAGTTCAACCATTGTGGAAGATAGTGTGGCAATTCCTCAAGGACCTAGAAATAGAAATTCCATTTGACCCAGCAATCCCATTACTGGGTATATATCCAAAGGATTATAGATCGTTCTATTATAAGGACACATGCACACGTATGTTCACTGCAGCACTGTTTACAATAGCAAAGACTTGGAACCAACCCAAATGCCCATCGATGATAGACTGGACAGGGAAAATGTGGCACATATACATCATGGAATACTATGTAGCCATAAAAAATGATGAGTTCATGTCCTTTGTAGGGACATGGATGAACCTGGAAACCATCATTCTCAGTAAACTGATACAAGAACAGAAAATCAAACACCGCATCTTCTCACTCATAGGCAGGTGTTGAACAATGAGAACACATTGACACAGGGAGGGGAGCATCACACGCTGGGGTCTTTAGGGAGGGGGAACTAGCAGAGGGACAGTGGGGGGTGAGGAGTTGGGGAGGGATAACATGGGGAGAAACGCCAAATATAGGTGATGGGTAGGAAGGCAGCAAACCACACTGCCATGTATGTACCTATGCAACAGTCTTGCATATTCTTCACCTGTACCCCAAAACCTAAAATGCAATAAAATATATGTATATAAATAAAAATAAAAATAAACTAGACCAAACTTCATAGAAAAATAAAATTTTAAATATTAGAAAAATTTTGAAGATTATTTGTGCCATCTAGGGAGGAAGACAGAAGGGAGAGGAGGAGCAGGACATTTTAAATAAGACAGTAAACCCAAATACTGACAGTAAGAATGACAAGCCTAAGTGCTGTTAACATCTCCATGCTACAGCCAGAATTTGCTACAGGTTCTAAGTGTCTGATAAATACGACTACTGTGTACTCACATTTGGAGGTCCATTAGTACTGTTTTCTCAACAATATTTTAAGAGACTTTTTTGGCATTGTCCCCATAGCCTGCATAGGTCGATCTGTACTATGCGATCACAATGTGTTCACTTACGTTGAATGATTCATAATTTCAAGAAATACTTCTTGAATGACACTGATGTTGCAGGAAACTGATCATTTTGCTGCTCAATTGAGCCCTGAGTTTTCTCTGTAATGATCGAGTGGGGTTTTTTTTTCTACAGTCTGTAGGGACACCTAATGTAGAGAGAATTGTCTATGGCTTGCTCCAGGATGTGTTGATGATCTCCTAAACAAGTTGCATCATCTTTTCCCTCAAACTTATATAAACATCCTGTCCTGATAAAGCCCTGAATGCATTGAGTAATTGTCACCTACTAGGTGTGGTAACACTTTAAGAGACATTATTCTGAAGAAGAAATTGGGAAACAACCATTTGTGTTTTCTTTTAGGTCTCTGATGGAAGTTGAAGTATATTCCTTGTAGGTGTACTACTTATGATTCAATTTCCTAGATATTTTTGAAGATATTAAGAAAGTCAATAGATGAACAAATTATTGATACAGGACTGATCACCAAATTCCAAGTACACATTTATAAACTCTTTTCACTTACAGGTCTATGCATAACAAACATTTATTTGCAGATTTTTGTAGTTTTTTTTTCTGTTATGCATTTATACAGATATCTGCCAAAAGTTTAGTCTTACCATTTAAAGGGAGGCATTTCCTCCAATATTACTAAAGAACTCTGGATGTTGAATTCAGAAGGCTGGCAAGCAGGACTTATTCAGTGTCACAGAAAAAATTATTTTCCTGGATCTACATCTCATATCTGCTTGTTCACAGTAACTCATACAGTAGATTTTAATCTATGATAACTACCTTTTCTGGCATGCCTCAGACCACCCATGATTTTAGTTAGTCATCATTATTTATTGAGTGCCTACTATGTGATTGAGATAATTACTTCTAGGTATTGGCCACAAGCAATAAATGGGAAACATCAGATTAATGGAAACTTATGCTTTATTTCTGATAGACTGGGCAAGAAAGGAAGTAATTCAGTACTATTTGGCTTAGTTGACTACATGGCTACTGTCTAAGTCATTTCGGATACAGAATTTATTAGAAAGACACCATAAGGGATTAGTTGTTGGGGGATCAACACTGTAAAGAATCTGATCTGAGAAGAACCTTTCAGTATTTACCTAAAAAGCGGTGGCCTTGGGAACAGACCACAAAAGAAATCTTGCCATCTTTTCTATCTAACATCTGAAACCCCCAGTCAGCACAAATGGGTGGCAGGAAAGACTTGTTTTAAAGAATGACACTTGTTTTAAAGATGAGAGGGGCCTAAAGATCTATAGATCAACTGTATTCCCCATGAACTTCAGGAATCCACAAAGCAGTGAATTAGCGTGTTATCTTAGTAAATGAGCACGGCTAATTGAGTCCCTGTTACAACTTGATTTCTTCTGTTTTTTACTAAGTGATTGAGCACATCCTGAATTACATGTCATGAGAATACTTGCTCCCCCAAGAAGTTGACAAATTCGCAAGCTGACAATCGTAAGAGGTAGATAATCATCTCAGGTCTATAACTAGTTCATTCATCTGACTGAACCATTATAAAATGATTTCTTTTTTCCTGACGCATAGCACTACTTTTCATCTTTTAAAAAAATTACGTATTTTTTTTAAAGTGCAGATTCATCAAAACACCAAATGATCAGTCTTTTTGGAAAGGACATGACCTACATGGGTAAGGTATGTGTACACATTGACAATTGTGCATTGTCTTATACTTGGTATTATTTAAATAACACAAGTTAATTGGAAAATTTCCTATGCTACTTTTGAAATTGTATTACTTACATTAGAGATCGCAAGGGAGTAATTGGCTTAGTAACCAGTTTATCACATTAAAATGTACTTTTAATGTCTGCTAATTTCAAAAGGCTCATATGAGAGTCCACATGCCTTAGTGATCTGTGTTTAGTATTAGTCGGAATCTCGATTGGGAACAGCTTACATATCTCTGAGCCAGGCGTGGAATTATTGGCTCTCTGTGTTTCCTCATTTATAAAATTGCAGCTAATAACTTGTCTTCTGCACAAAGAATGTTGTTTAGATCAACGAATAAGGAAGTCAAGCAAAGCAATGTTAATTCAGACATTATTATTCACCTTTAGAACCTTAACAAAACGGAGAGAAAAAAACTTCCTAGGAACAATAATAGTAGACTCTGTGTGCAAAGATACGAGCATTTTTTGGTAATATCTGGCACTGCAGACGTGTACTTAAAATCTCAGGATATTAAGTTTATGAGTAAAGTTACTTAAAACCTACTCATTATTGAGAGTTGGTGATGAAAGGGGCCTAAAGGGCAACCTTTTGTCATACAGGAGGCCACTGGTGTCCAAGGAGATTAAATAACTTTCCTAAAGTCAAGTTGATGAGCAACTAAAGCCACAACCAGAAGACCGATTTTCAGCCATTGTCCTTTGACCTGCATCTATTTGTTTAGAAAAATGGCAAAATAATGGAAACATCAACCTTCTGATAGTGATCAGTCCATCACCAGGAAACAGCTATTATTTCATGACATCTTTTGAGCAATCGCAGCTGTGATCATTACAGAATTGGTAGCAATTTCAAAAAGAGACTGGTCCATTTAAAAATATGAGATCACTTATTTTACTCAGAATTAAAAAAAACCAAACAAACAAACAAAAAAAACTGCGGTAGAAGCGCGTGATTATGAGGGCGTTTGGGTACAGAGCCGTCCAACGGAAGAATTCATACAATTTAGGCTCGCTGGCACCGTGCACTGCGCGCCGGGTCCGACTGGGGGACACCGGGCAGCAGAGGGTGTCGGGGAGCCCCGCGCCGCTCCTGGGCCGCTCCCAGCCCCGCCGCCTTCCCAGGCCGCTTCCCCGCCGGCGCCGGGCGTGCGGCGCCTCTTCAGAAACAGGACTCGGATCGGCCGCGGACTCCGAGGGCGGGGAATGGGCGCCTGGAGGCCGCTGGAACCCACAACTGGACCGGGAAGGGAAAGGGGCGGCGTACCTCCGATTCGGGCGTGGTTCCCGCTGGGGTCGGCCCTGCCGGGGTCGGCCCCCAGGGAGTCGTTCCCTGCGACATCGCCGCAATCTCGGCCGGGAGAAGCGGCCCCTCGTCGCCTAGACAACCGGAGTGGGGGCGGCGTCCCTGGGCCGGGGAACAGATCCCAGCGGAACGCGGCGGCGGCGGGCCCGAGCCTCCGCCCCCCCGGGGACAGGGCTGGGGACCACGCCCAGGAACAGGAGGCCGGAAGGGTGGCCCACAGCAACCTGCTGCGGAGTCTCTGAATCCTCTGGGAGAGACAGAGTCGTTCCTTTTAGTAGGACTGAAAGAGAGGAAAAGCCAATTCAAGTAGCAGTAATTTAAATGAAATGGTATATGTCAAAGTGCCTAATGCTGGCCCACTGCAACTTTCAACAAATATTAAAGTAAGATATATATTAGAACTTTAACCACTGATTGGTGTTGGATACTAAGCAATCATTGTAAATTTTAAAGTATCATGATGGTATTGTGGTCATGTTTAGAAGGAAAAATATGTCTTTATCTTTTACATACTAAACAATGTAGTGGTAATGAAATTTTATAAAATCGGTGATTTACTCCAAAATAATGGGGGAGAGGCAAAGGAAATGAGTGGAGGTATAATAGATGAATCTAGATTAGGTATGTGAATAAAGGGGTTCAGTTAGTATAGTATTCGTTCTATTTTTGTATATGTTTGAAGTGTTCCACAACAAAAACATTGAAAAACAACCAGAAATATCACGTGGCAGCATGAGTATTCTTGACTTCTTTGGAAGATCAACGTCTGCTTTGAAAAGGAAATGTACGTGGCTTGTATTGACCTGCATGGAGGTTGCTATGCAGGACACTTATTGTAAAAATCAGACATTATTTAAGTGCTTCAGTTTCCCCATCTGTTAAATGAGATAACAGTATTGGCCTCAAAACATGACTGTGAGGATTTAACTGGTTTATATATATATATGAAAATGTATATATCAGCCTTGACAGCTAGTAATGGTCTGTTTGATATTATTAGTGTTAGTATTAATGGTGTGCTTCCCTGACGTTAGTCCAACCTGTACACAGCTGCCAGGATAATATTTCATCATGATCCTCTCCTTTATATTATATTAGTCCATTGTCTTTTAGACCAAATTTAACACATTTGCTTTATATAACCTCATGATAATTGTGCCTTTCCTTCAAATTGTCTCATAGTTCAAAGTATACAATTTGTACTGTCAACTAGTGTTTATGAGTCATCTCTAGTCTGGTAAATGTATGGCCCATCTTTTCAAGTGGGTTTTATTTACTGTTTCCCTTGATATTTTCACTTCCGAAGGAGCAAGTTTAGTTCTCAGTACAAATAATGCATGCAACTCCATTTAAATAGGACCATATTAAAGTTTCTTCAGTTGGTGAAAATGTAGTCACTTTTTAGTGATTGCTAGAGTTAAAACAAGAGCCACCACCTTCGAAACTCATTACAGTGCTTAATTTTTTTCATTGTTTCCTTCTGATCACTACTCCCAGGAAATTGAAAATAGCTGGTCACCTTTTTTGAGGTAAGGACCCTTCCTCATTCCTTGAATTTAGTGTTTGGTGAAATGATAAAGCATTTATTTCTCTAATACGGAGTTCTAGTTTTCTCAAAGATTTGGTTTACTTTTCAAGGCCTTTAATTTTGCTGCCATTTGTTTGACAGTTTTTAGGTTTTCTTCTACCGTTTTTGGTTTTGGACCCCAGAACGAGATGGAGAACTCCATTAAAGATGGAATCAATTCTAACAGTAACAGACGGTTACCTCAGGGAGAGGGGAATTGTTTTGCAGGAATTACAATTTTACTTTAAAAAATGTAATGTTGTAATTTGTTAGAGAAGTCAGTTTTGAGGAGGTAATTTAATTTTATGGGACACAAATGTTTTGCTCAGTAAGGAGTGGTGTTGAAAACCCATTAGCCTGAAGGTTACTTTTAATTTGCACAAGTTGAAGCTGATTTTAGCCTCCCATTTCTTTTGTAGATAGGTGCCAACAAGTAAGACAAATCTCAGTAGGTGATATGCTTTCTTACGTGGAAAGGTCAGTTAAGTCTTCCTTCCTAGGTCTCTTTTGAAGATAAAGGCCTCTAACCGAAGCCTGCAAAATTCCATTTGTTATCGTAGTCTATTGTCTTAGGACTGGAAGAGGAAAGGAAGCATATGGGTCTTGTTCACAGTTATTTTTGTAAAAGATCACTGACTTTTACCACATCACATTGAAATATGGGGTAGCCTGATATTACTTGATCAATTCAATTGACTTCTGTTCTAAAGAAAGTTTTCCAACCTACATATCCGTAAACCTGTGAGGTGCACACTTTATAAATAAAATCAGGTTCTCTTGAAGAGGAACTTTTTATAATTTTACCAGTTAAACCAAATATTGGATGTTTAAAATGAAACATGCTTTTATACCAGAAAAACACTCAGGAAAGGGCTAGATAATTTTATAATGGGTATTGATGGTCCAGTGTGGCAATATTTGGCAATGAATAATAACAAATTTTAACTATGTTCTTAGGGTGAGTAAACATTTCTACTCCATTCTTCGTGGTTCCTGTGTCTCTGGCTCATTTTATTATTATTATTTTTTATTTTTATTATTTTGAGATGGAGTCTCACTCCTGTTGCCCAGGCTGGAGTACAGTTGCGTGATCTTGGCTCATGGCAACCTCCACCTCCTGGGTTCAAGGGATTCTCCTGCTTCAGCCTCTGCAGTAGCTGGGATTAGAGGAGCCTACCACCACGCCTGGCTAATTTTTGTATTTTTAGTAGAGATGAGGTTTCACCACGTTGGCCAGGCTGGTCTTGAACTTCTGACCTCAGGTGATCTTCCCACCTCAGGCTCAAAAAGTGCTGAGATCACAGGCTTGAGCCACTGTGCCCAGCCTCTGGGTTATCTTAAATATGATGAGGTTCTTCAACAATGAACAAAATAGTGCTATTAGTGACATGTTAGTAATTCAAACACTGTGATTCCTGAGGTCTTCAATGTATTAAGTGATACCCATGATCTTAAGATGATCAGGTAGGAAGCAATTTAGTATGCTCCTAAATGTAATGAGAGATCTCATAATTCTAGAGATCAAATTTAGACTGCTCATTGTTTCTTGCCTTGAGATCCGTGAAACTCGATAGATGTAGAATGAAAAAAGACTAAAAGCAATTTAATTTGTAAGTAATTGCCTTCCTTGGTTACATATTTTATTTTTAGCAAAGAAAGTTTTCCCATAGGTAACCAATTTTGAAATGTATTTAAAGTTTTCTTAACCTTTACCTAATCCTCAAATCTGGTCTTCTCATTTCAACCAAGTACTGTAGTCTGTTCAAGTCATATGTGAGAACATTGTGAAGTCTTACCTTAATAAAGCACACTTAGGACATGACATAGTAAAAATACTATAGTATACATTATAAGAGTGAGTAATTGTTGTGGGCTGGGATAATAATTTCCAGAAAACAGTTGGTATAATACTATTTGGAGAATATGCATATAGCACCAATACTTGTCTGCAAAACTCTGTCATCTCCCATTTTGAGTCCATATTTTGTCCTTCTTTCTCTAGTCACTCCCTTTAAAATGGATCCTTTTGCTTTTCAGATGAAACTTAAGTCCTTTTTCCAAACCAGCAATTCCCTACTACAGAGATCTCTTTAAGATAATTTTGTGACTTTTTGCTTTCCTTCCTGATCAAAATATTGAAAAAGCAGTGGCTCTCTTTTCATCTCTCCTTACCCACTGCAGCTCTGTTATCAGCCTCTTACCTCCTTAGCTCTCCTAAGCCGACCTCTCAAAAATTGCCACTGCTTCCTGTCTTCCTTAGTATGTGGTCATTTTTCGCTTGCCCCTCATATTCACTCCCTCCCTTTCTCTGCTTTGTCTCGTGACCAACCTTTGTGGTCACCATCAGCTGGTTTTGCCACATTTTTTGCCCTCTGATTTGTGGTTGAGTTTTGCCAATGGGAGCATCACCAGGGGTTTGGAAGGTGGAAGAGTGAGATCAGGGTATTTATTCTCCCAGTCCCCTCTCTGCAGGATTACAGGTTAGAAGTAGCTGGATACCTACACCCAAAGCCCTGAAAGTCACCATCTGTTCCTCAGCCCCTTCCACAGCTCGAGCCGTCTCCGGGTTTTGGTAACGATGTCTCTTGCCTGGCCCCTTCAGGCCTAAAGGTGGTAATGGCTTCCTCCTGCTACTAGACCGAGGACGCGTCACTGTCTCTTGTTGATTTTACTTATGGCTGCCCACCTGTTTGTGAACAGTTCCTTTAACAAGCTGTCCTCAGTTACCACATTTGTGCTGTTTTCTGTAGGGACTTTGACTGGTATTTGCAAAACCTAACTCCAAAACGTTTAATAAGGAAGATGTCTGGCTTGCTCAACACCATTGTTATTGCCCACTGCTTAATTCCTGTGCAGCGAGCAGTAGTGTCTGTAAATGACCGTGGGTACTTATTGTGGATTTCTTGAACAATTATCTAGGCAGCGCTGCACCCCAGCCCACCCCTTCTCCCACTGGAGGGGCTGCACCCAACCACCCTCAGGACTGACGGTAGACAACTGGGGACTATAACTACCCAGGCTGGGCACGGTGGCTCACGCCTGTAATCCCAGCACTTTGGGAGGCCGAGGCAGGTGGATCATGAGGTCAAGAGATCGAGACCATCTTGGTCAACATGATGAAACCCTGTCTGTACTAAAAATACAAAAAATTAGCCGGGCATGGTGGCGTGTGCTTGTAATACCAGCTACTCAGGAGGCTGAGGCAGGAGAATTGCCTGAACCCAGGAGGCGGATGTTGTGGTGAGCCGAGATCGCGCCATTGCACTCCGGCCTGGGTAACAAGAGCGAAACTCTGTTTCAAAAAAAAAAAAAGGAAAATATAACTACCCCTGCGACCTGTGTTATCTCTGTCCTGGGCAGCTGGCTGTCTCAGACTTGTGTAGATGGCTCGTTCCCCAAATCCTAACTTTCCAATGTCAAGCAGACTGCATAGTGTAGTTCCCTTATTGATGACTCGTTTAAAATTTGGGCTGTAAAAAGTCAAAAGAACAAGTCCTGGGCCCTGGCAAGCCTTTCCGAAGACGCTGGTGTGTGTTCGGGTAACAACAGTGCCTTCCTTTTTTGTTCTTGCTGATCCTGG